CTCTCCCCCTCTCTCTTTCACTTTTCCTCTCTCTCTCTCTCTCTCTCTCTCTCTCTCTCTCTCTCTTTTTTTTTTATAGTACAAGAGTTAAGCTTAATGGAGAAATAAAACGACACGTGAGTGTTATTATAATGACACGAATAATTTCAAACATAAAACAGTTGGAAGAAGAAACATTTTAAAAAAATCTTATTTAGATTTTGACCGAATTATATTTTTATTTTTTTAATAATTAATTATATTGGCGAAAGAATAAAACTGCATTAACATAGTTATATCTTTATATCAGGTGTGATAAGTGTGGTATATAAATGGCTGAGACGTGTGACCTTGTTTTCTAAAACTGAGTTATTAAAATGTACACAATACCTGCGTTATATTTTTTATCACATACGTCGAGGCACGTGTTTGCACACGATCTCAGAGCACACCCCAGGACGTGTTGTATTAAAAAGTCTTGTGTACGTTAATCACTCTGTGTAATAGTGAGGTAGAATACACTTTGGCGACTGGCGTGATTTCCACGGTTACAATATCGCAAAGGCTTCACGTACTGTATGTGATGGGGGATTTGTATGGGTTTCTCTATGAATCTGTATGAAGACTACTCCTATAACTAATACTTCAACTATAAACTTGTGATGAGAAGAGGAACACTCTTATTTTCCGACGACACTAATTAACGATATCAACAACTTCGATCATGAAATATAATTAACTTTATTATCAAACACTAATACTATACAATATCAATACACGTCATTTTCCTATAATGACTAACCCCCAACTGTCTTCACTGTTGCATCCTACGTCATCGGTAACATTGTCGCGTCACGCTCACGTCACACTCACGCCACACCAGGATAATTCCCTTTACCTTTACATCGGTGTTGCACTCACTGACACTAGTACAAAAAACCAGTCCTATTTTGTTTTGTGTAGCTTCAAATCGTGTCTGACGTCTTTTTCTCTTTCTGATAGACCTGTGTCTATTGTCTGTATCTTGATAGATATTGTCTTAACCCTTTAATTACGGAATTAGGTTCCGAATGACCTTTTTTCTTAAACAATGTGTTATCATATTGCTTTTGGCACATTTAAAGCATATGTCGAAGGAAATTTTGTTTCATAAATGTTTAAGGTCCCAAACATATATTGGTACTTATAAGTACCGTCAGGAATGTAGGACATTTTTTCCAAACATTAAAAAATTTACAAAACAGGAAAAAACGATACAACTTATTTAATAATAACATGGCAATCATTATAACAATCATTTTTTGTAATTTTCACTCATAAACCCAGCACAAAAGTATATTTTGAGTACGATTTTTACTGGATTTTCTATCGGAACACAAATTAGACCTCAATTACAGCAAAAGGTGCCG